CGTCTATGTATGCATATACAAAGTGGAGACCGTGAAATACTTCGTCGATGAAGCGTTGGAATGTTTTGGCTGCATTCCGGAGACCGAATGGCATACGTAGAAATTCAAAATTCCAAAAGGCGTAATGGTAGCCGTTTTCGGGATGTCTTCTGTTGCCATCGGGATTTGGTTATATGCCTTAACCAAGTCGATTTTAAAAAACATAGTTGCGCCAGATAATGTTGCCGTCAAGTCGTGCAACGGGTAGCAATCAGTGGTTGTCTTGGCGTTCACTTGTTGGTAATCAACGGTGGGCCGCCGTTCACTGCTATCCTTTTTCGGTACCATATGAAGTGAGGATACTCTGTGGCTATTCGAAGGTCGAATGATGCCAAGGGTGAGCATATGGTGGAATTCATTCCTAGCTATTCTCAGTTTGTCAGGAGCAAGTCGATGTGCTTTAGATGTCACTGGCTGTCCTGAGATCATGATATGGTGCATGACACTGCTGGTTATGGACGGTAGGTTTTAGACGGGCAATTAAGTTCCGGATATTTATCAACGATCCGTTGAAAATTTGGATCAAGGGTTGCCTTTATCTTAACGAGTGACAAGCTAGGGACTATGTGGGTGATGCCCTTGATAGACAGACTAGTAGTATTGTCAATCAATCGTTTTCGGCGGACGTCTACGAGTAAATCATGGTGATCAAGTAGGTCTGTGCCAATGATGGGCATTGTGACGTCAGCGAGAAGGAAAATCCACTGAATATGTTTGCGTAAACTTACGTTCAGATAGACGTATTTCCTACCAAAGTTTACAGTTGGTTTTCCGTTTGCAGCCTGTAGGTTGAAGGTAGGTTTCTTCTGTCGATCTGCTGCTGTAGCAGGAAGGATGCTGACTTCGGCGCCTGTGTCGACTAAATATTGAGTCTGGCTGATCACATGATGGATGTGAAGTAGGCGGCTTGTGCCACCGGCGACGGTTGCTGCTAACGTGTGCCGGCGGGATAGTTTCCCACAGACTTTGAGACATTGCCGGCAACATTTCGCTTCCTGGCCATAAGTGTTGCGGTACCAGCACCAGTCAAGGTTTTTCAGTGGGCGTGGCTTAGACTTAGATCTGCCACGTGAGTTTTGGCGTTGAGGAGAGTTCGGACGACGGTAGGAGGAATTGCAAGTCACGTTTGATCTGAGCATCTGCTAGATGGAGTTGCATAACCCTATCACTGCAGTAATCCGCTTGGCCACCGAGCATGTTTCAGGAACTAACCGTTTATTTATTTCCAGAATGTTATCTGCAGAAATAGCTAAGTCATCCATAAGAAAAGTCCTTCTTTGGACTGACTGGCCAATAACCTCTCTCATTCTTGTTAGCGTGCTGACGACTGACTGATCCCCTAACTTGATGTTACGAAATAATTCTTCCAAACTCTGTCGATCCGTGAGAGCGTTTCTCCTGAGGAGTGATGCTTTGAGCAACTCGTACGAGTTAATTACCTCTGGACTCGACACCTGCACAGTCACGCACTTGCTGAATTCCCGCCGTAGGGCGTGAACAACTGCGAGGAACTGTGAACGTTGATCGGTTATCCCATGCTCACAGAAATTAGACTCAGCTATCCGAAACTACGCTTCAGCATTATCTGGCCAGTATGGTACGAGCTGAATGGTTTTGGCAGTTGAGGGAATACGAATGGCCTTGGGACTAGGGTCACTCATGACGAAACGAATATCGATTACGATATAGTACAAGAACAAATACAAAAAGGAACGAACTCACCGGGTTTATCTACGTATTTATCGAAGATGAAGTTCGGGGTTCGGCTCACCAGTTAGAGGCTGATGGTATTGACGTTCGCGAATTGTATGGAGTATACTAACGCAAGTTCTCATAGCAGTAACTTCTATGTTATTCGTTTCTCGTGTACCAAAGGCAAAGCAAATCGTAAACTGAAGCGGAAGCTAAGCTAGCTAGTGATCCTACACGGAAGTGACACGATGGAATACCAAATGGCGAGGATGCTTTACCGGAAGCCTTCGGCTAAACAAGTCGACTTAAACACCAGGGGTCAGCATCCAATGTTCACTGATGATTCCTGTGGTCAATAATTTTGGGGAATTATTTACCGCTACAGTCTTTTGACATTAGACATATTTTGTGATTTCTGAAAATTTTCCGGATTATTCCAAAATCATTTTTGACTTCGGAATTTGTCTCAAGCCATCAGACGCACTGAAAAGCAAACTTGCTCATATAAGAGGCCGAATCCGTAAGGATTTCTTATCTGGTTGTGTCCATAAAAAATACGTGGAATGTGAAGCGATATGCATCGGACAAACATAAGGAGGAATCAAATCATGAGAAACGAATACCGTAGGGCATCTGTCCGACCACCGAAATATCCAGTTGAGCTAGAAAAGCTCGAAAAATCATCAGCCATAGTTCCACACCCTACGAAATCAGTAATTGACTTTGACGATATCGGTTTTTATAGTATTCATATGTATTATAAAATAAAGGGGTAAATTTACATGAAAAGTTTGGCACTTTTACGGGCACCAGCGGGCAGGATATAAATCCAAGTCTATGTGTTGACGAATTGGTGTTGTTTAGATATTTATGATATTTTAATTGCAACATACCAGAACAGGACCATATCGTGAAGCTCCAGCAAGTAGCCCTAATTTCGTTTTCTTCGGGTGACCATACGCAACCTTCCACCAATCAGTATTCTGTCTGGTATCGCATCCATGTTGCTCTGAAAGCCTTTTCGCAGAGGAAGAACTATCTAGGAGACAAGAAGATGTAACAAAACCGTACAAGTGTAATTTATTAATGTAAGCGTAGAGAATGGTCACCGAGGTAGAATGTATTTCCATGTTAGATAAGTTCATTTGAAAAAACACACGGTGATGCAGTAGTAATAACAGGATAATTTGCCATTAAAAATACATACACGAAAGGCACGAAAAATAGAGCTATACAGTATTTACAATGACGATGTACTCTGCAACACGCAGTAATCACTTCTCTGGTCGCACTGCTAAAGTTATGATGTTATCGTGAGAACACAGTTGTCAATGGAGTTGAAGATTGAACGATCAATTCATGGTTGTTTGCTTAAAATCAACTTCCCCAATTTTCGCGGAGGCATCAATACGACAGTCATCGTCTCATCGGTCGCTGTTCAGAAAGAAGAGTAAAATATCGTCAGAAGTAATATAACGATTTATTATTGTAATATTTGTTTTCAGAACTTAGTTCGCTTATTCCTTTTATATGTTGGTGTAACAATAAACAAATCTCAAGCGGCAGATCGGTGTTTTGGTTTTTTCGTCCGTTATAAATAAGCGTTTCCGAAATCTTCGAAGAACAGCGTGGGCCCGAGCGTAGCGAGAGCTGGGCATTAACGGTTTATGAGACGTGATTGACAGTTTCTGTCGATAGAAACAGATCTGGCGGATTCAAACAGTTGGTGAAATTTTGGATAGTCACCGTTCATCTTTCCTAGTGCCGGTCAAGTCCTCTTTGAACAAGCAATATCTGGAACGTTTTTGGAATTGGGTCAAGTTCAACAATGCCTGGGTCAAAGAAGGGACAGAGTGTCTTGGATGCAAACAGGAAAGTAAGTCATGGTGACTTGTCTGTTAATTGTAACGATGTGTCTGATGTTAAGCATGACATGGTTGATGTTACTGTTTCGCCGTTCATGGATAATAGGAACATCAAACTCCCTAAATTTGAACCACGATGTTTTGATGGAAACCCGGCCGATTATTTACAATTTGTAAAGGAGTTTGAGATCATGTTGAGTGGTGTTTTATTAAATGATGAATTGAAGTTAATGTATTTGATGAGATATTGCACTGGAGATGCTGCAAGAGCTATACAGTGCTGTACGTTTATGAAGCCAAAAGAGGGCTACTACGAGGCTCTGATCATATTACGTCAAAGGTTTGGAAGACCTTCGATGATTGCAGGGAAATTATTCGAGGCTGTTAAGGGTAATGGTGGTCAATTACAGGATGACTCCCAGGCACTCACTCAGTTTTTAGATAATTTGCTAATTTACAAGAATGGAATGATTTCGATGAATCGCACGAGTGACCTCAACTCGAGTTTTATACTAGAAGTAATAGCAAGACGTCTACCTACTCGACTGCAAAGGAAGTGGGTGAAGATGAGCTCCCGTATGGAGGATGAGGGTATCGAGCCAAAGTTTGATGATATCCTGAAACTGGTAAATACTAGTGTCAATGAATCTATGAGCAAGTTTTCCAGTCTATTATATCTCACTCCTAGAATAGAGTAGTCTGAGATCAAAATGCAATCATTGATGACGAGTAGGCCTCAGAGAGGTGGTTGTCAATCACGTCTCATAAACCGTTAATGCCCAGCTCTCGCTACGCTCGGGCCCACGCTGTTCTTCGAAGATTTCGGAAACGCTTAGTTATAACGGACGAAAAAACCAAAACACCGATCTGCTGCTTGTTATTTCTTTATTGTTACACCAACATATAAAAGGAATAAGCGAACTAAGCAAACTAAGGTCTGTAAACAAATATTACAATAATAAATCATTGTATTACTTCTGACGATGTTTACACTTCTTTCTGAACAGCGACCGATGAGACGATGACTGTCGTATTGATGCCTCCGCGAAAATTGGGGAAGTTGATTTTGAGCAAACAACCAAGAATTGATCGTTCAATCTTCAACTCCATTGACACTCCCCGGCAAAAAAGGGATCCAACCCTTTTTTCCTTCACGACCAATGCACGTTGACTTGGATGCCATTGCGAGAACCTGGGTCACACGGACAGAGCTGAAATGGAAAACAAACAGAAAAGCCAACACACCACAAGCATACCCACAGCACAATCTCACACATCAATGACGACCTGCGCCTCCAGACAGAGACCTCCTCTTGACATCTTGCAACACAATCGCCCTTTGCTAGAATGACTCTTGCAGAATGCAAAGTGACCATGGCAGCACCTCACGATACTCTACGCACATCCTCTTAATTACTCATTACCAATTACCACTGAAATCGCTTGTCACTCATTCTGCCTCAGTTCTAGTAGCGGTGACGCATGCGAGCCTCAGTCGTTTACACTCTTTCTCCCCGGCGTGTCGGACCGCAGCTAACAATTATCTCCGTGTGCATTTCATTCTCAGCAATAGCCTAGCCTCCCCGGCGTATACGACCCATCTGCTGTCTCTAACATCAATCAATTCATTCATGGATGTAGAAGACAAGAAACAACTTCAGAAGTAATCACGACGAAAATTTTAACAAAATTATGCAATAAAAACAAGGCACGAAAACAACGAGTAAACACAACTGATCCAAAATCACAAATTGCGAAGACACACCACACGTATACACAAACAGTACAAATAACCTCGCGGATCATGTCTTGGTGGAATTCCTTTGAAGAATTGCAGGACTTACACCAGTACGCCTGCAACCCTTCACAGGTTGACGATTGTAAGTTGTGGAATGTCCAGACACAAACAAGATTAACCAACAATTACATCAATTGGAACTCACACAACTATTTAACACAAACATATGTACAATCAACACATCAAATGTTGTGGATTCTGACACGACAAACTACCCTTGAAGAACTGTAGGACTTACAGCAGTACGCCTACATTCCTTCTCAGGTTGATGATCCAAGTGGAAGTCGTCCGGACACAAACAGAATTACCAACAGCTAGATGACAGATGATATCAATTCAGTATATACAATATGAACATATGTACAAGATCATACACCAAGCACATTGGACTGCTCATTGATGCGCTACCCTTTGAAGAACTGTAGGACTTACAGCAGTACGCCTACAACCCTTCTCAGGTTGACGCCCTAGGTTGGAAAATCGTCGCAGAGTTCATTTGCTAACTTCCTTCTATCAGCTATATCCTCAAATCTGAACGGCAACACGCCCATGTCATTGTATCGTAGAATATAGATGACCAACAAACACACGACATATCTCATCAACCAAGTGTAGAAACAGAGTAATTTACACCAAAGATAATAACATTCAAATAGTAACTTGAAACTAGAAATGCCTTTATTCGTGCAAGTCAATTTAACAATAACTCTCTCCTTTACACTTGGCTTATCCACACTAAACTGACCATTGATATTCGTCCTTTCAAACGAACTGATACTACCATAGTCATTGCACAAGATACTTGAGTTGATGGGTGTCTGTTTCATTGTGGATGACAGCACCAACGATGACTGAGTGACACAAGGTGATGAACTTAGTGGTGGATCAGAAGCTGTTCTTGTTCGGCTCTCAGATAGTTGTCCAACTGCAAGATTACCACCACTGCTGTCTTTCACTACTAGTTCGGGTTTAGCACTATCATCTGATGATAGGTGGGCTACACGCTGATCAATTACACTGACTGTCTCACAAGTATGCACACCTTTTGGAACTGCATCTGCGTTCAATTCTACTTCACGTTGTAGTTGTACAGAACCTTTATTTAACTTAGCAGTAGTAGGCATATCCCTCATCTCATAATGATCAACCAAAGACAACTGTGAAGTATCATGATCATTATCACGAATATTCACTTTACCGTCAACTTCATCATTTTCAAACTCTTTAATAACAGAAGTAGACAATTTTGGTTCCTCCTCACAAATCATAAAAGGTTTTATATCTTCACTCTGACTAGTTATACTTTGTAAACTTGTGGAGTCAGAACTGCACTCTGAAGCAGTAACTCTATTCTGTGACACTCTATTCAACAACGGCTTACCAGTTGCAACTACAGACTTCTTCACCGCACCGTTATCGTCACACAATTCGGAGTCAGACCTGGAGTTTACATTTAGCTTATCACTGAACTTGCTCACTGGTTCACAGTTCACTTCTGTATGCACCTCTTGCACACGTGTAAAACAAAACCGTGTTTGTCTTGCATCTTGTAACTTATCTGTTGAGGATGTACTACGAAACCTGTTACACTCACTAGGTCTATATGCATTACTAGACATCATGGAGTCTTCTCGATATCCACCTCTCTGAGGCTTATTCGTCATCAATGATTGCGTTTTACCCTCAGACTGCTCTATTCTAGGGGTGAGATGTAATAGACTGGAAAACTTGCTCATAGATTGATTGACACTAGTATTTACCAGTTTCAGGATATCATCAAACTTTGGCTCGATACCCTCATCCTCCATACGGGAGCTCATCTTCACCCACTTCCTTTGCAGTCGAGTAGGTAGACGTCTTGCTATTACTTCTAGTATAAAACTCGAGTTGAGGTCACTCATGCGATTCATCGAAATCATTCCATTCTTGTAAATTAGCAAATTATCTAAAAACTCAGTGAGTGCCTGGGAGTCATCCTGTAATTGACCACCATTACCCTTAACAGCCTCGAATAATTTCCCTGCAATCATCGAAGGTCTTCCAAACCTTTGACGTAATATGCTCATAGCCTCGTAGTAGCCCTCTTTTGGCTTCATAAACTTACAGCACTGTATAGCTCTTGCAGCATCTCCAGTGCAATATCTCATCAAATACATTAACTTCAATTCATCATTTAATAAAACACCACTCAACATGATCTCAAACTCCTTTACAAATTGTAAATAATCAGCCGGGTTTCCATCAAAACACCGTGGTTCAAATTTAGGGAGTTTGATGTTCCTATTATCCCTGAACGGCGAAACAGTAACATCAACCATGTCATGCTTAACATCAGACACATCGTTACAATTAACAGACAAGTCACCATGACTTACTTTCCTGTTTGCATCCAAGACACTCTGTCCCTTCTTTGACCCAGGCATTGTTGAACTTGACCCAATTCCAAAAAGTTCCAGATATTGCTTGTTCAAAGAGGACTTGACCGGCACCAGGAAAATGAACGGCGACTATCCAAACTTTCACCAACTGTTTGAATCCGCCAGATCTGTTTCTATCGTCAGAAACTGTCAATCACGTCTCATAAACCGTTAATGCCCAGCTCTCGCTACGCTCGGGCCCACGCTGTTCTTCGAAGATTTCGGAAACGCTTAGTTATAACGGACGAAAAAACCAAAACACCGATCTGCCGCTTGAGATTTGTTTATTGTTACACCAACATATAAAAGGAATAAGCGAACTAAGGTCTGTAAACAAATATTACAATAATAAATCGTTATATTACTTCTGACGATGTTTCACTCTTCTTTCTGAACAGCGACCGATGAGACGATGACTGTCGTATTGATGCCTCCGCGAAAATTGGGGAAGTTGATTTTAAGCAAACAACCATGAATTGATCGTTCAATCTTCAACTCCATTGACAGTGGTTATCGAGAAAGCTCCATGATATCTAGTAATGCATATATACCTAGTGAGTGTAACAGGTTTCGTAGTACATCCCCAACTGATAGGTTACAAGATGCAAGACAAACACGGTTTTGTTTTACACGTATGCAAGAGGTGCATACAGAAGTGAACTGTGTACCAGTGAGCAAGTTCAGTGATAAGCTAAATGTAAACTCCAGGCATGACTCCGAATTGTGTGACGATAACGGTGCGGTGAAGAAGTCTGTTGTTACAACTGGTAAGCCATTGTTGAATAGAGTTTCACAGAATAGAGTTGCTGCTTCAGAGTGCAGTTCTGACTCCACAAGTTTACAAAGTATAACTAGTCAGAGTGAAGATATAAAACCTTTTAGGATTTGTGAGGAGGAACCAAAATTGTCTACTTCTGTTATTAAAGAGTTTGAAAATGATGAAGTTGACGGTAAAGTGAATATTCGTGATAATGATGATGATACTTCACAGTTGTCTTTGGTTGATCATTATGAGATGAGGGATATACCTACTACTGCTAAGTTAAATAAAGGTTCTGTACAACTACAACGTGAAGTAGAATTGAACGCAGATGCAGTTCCAAAAGGTGTGCATACTTGTGAGACAGTCAGTGTAATTGATAAGCGTGTAGCCCACCTATCATCAGATGATAGTGCTAAACCCGAACTAGTAGTGAAAGACAGCAGTGGTGGTAATCTTGCAGTTGGACAACTATCTGAGAGCCGAACAAGAACAGCTTCTGATCCACCACTAAGTTCATCACCTTGTGTCACTCAGTCATCGTTGGTGCTGTCGTCCACAATGAAACAGACACCCATCAACTCAAGTATCTTGTGCAATGACTATGGTAGTATCAGTTCGTTTGAAAGGACGAATATCAATGGTCAGTTTAGTGTGGATAAGCCAAGTGTAAAGGAGAGAGTTATTGTTAAATTGACTTGCACGAATAAAGGCATTTCTAGTTTCAAGTTACTATTTGAATGTTATTATCTTTGGTGTAAATTACTCTGTTTCTATACTTGGTTGATGAGATATGTCGTGTGTTTGTTGGTCATCTATATTCTACGATACAATGACATGGGCGTGTTGCCGTTCAGATTTGAGGATATAGCTGATAGAAGGAAGTTAGCAAATGAACTCTGCGACGATTTTCCAACCTAGGGCGTCAACCTGAGAAGGGTTGTATGCATACTGCTGTAAGTCCTACAGTTCTTCAAAGGGTAGCGCATCAATGAGCAGTCCAATGTGCTTGGTGTATGATCTTGTACATATGTTCATATTGTATATACTGAATTGATATCATCTGTCATCTAGCTGTTGGTAATTCTGTTTGTGTCCGGACGACTTTCACTTGGATCATCAACCTGAGAAGGAATGTAGGCGTACTGCTGTAAGTCCTACGGTTCTTCAAGGGTAGTTTGTCGTGTCAGAATCCACAACATTTGATGTGTTGATTGTACATATGTTTGTGTTAAATAGTTGTGTGAGTTCCAATTGATGTAATTGTTGGTTAATCTTGTTTGTGTCTGGACATTCCACAACTTACAATCGTCAACCTGTGAAGGGTTGCAGGCGTACTGGTGTAAGTCCTCCAATTCTTCAAAATAATTCTACCAAGACATGATCCGCGAGGTTATTTGTACTGTTTGTGTATACGTGTGGTGTGTCTTCGCAATTTGTGATTTTGGATCAGTTGTGTTTACTCGTTGTTTTCGTGCCTTGTTTTTATTGCATAATTTTGTTAAAATTTTCGTCGTGATTACTTCTGAAGTTGTTTCTTGTCTCCTACATCCATGAATGAATTGATTGATGTTAGAGACAGCAGATGGGGCGTATACGCCGGGGAGGCTAGGCTATTGCTGAGAATGAAATGCACACGGAGATAATTGTTAGCTGCGGTCCCACACGCCGGGGAGAAAGAGTGTAAACGACTGAGGCTCGCATGCGTCACCGCTACTAGAACTGAGGCAGAATGAGTGACAAGCGATTTCAATGGTAATTGGTAATGAGTAATTAAAAGGATGTACGTAGAGTATCGTGAGGTCCTGCCATGTTCACTTTGCATTCTGCAAGAGTCATTCTAGCAAGCGGCGATTGTGTTGCAAGATGTCAAGAGGAGGTCTCTGTCTGGACGCGCAGGTCGTCATTGATGTGTGAGATTGTGCTGTGAGTATGCTTGTGGTGTGTTGGCTTTTCTGTTTGTTTTCCATTTCAGCTCTGTCCGTGTGACCCAGGTCCTCGCAATGGCATCCAAGTCGACGTGCATTGGTCGTGAAGGAAAAAAGGGTTGCATCCGTTTTTTGCCGAGGAGTGTCAATGGAGTTGAAGATTGAACGATCAATTCATGGTTGTTTGCTTAAAATCAACTTCCCCAATTTTCGCGGAGGCATCAATACGACAGTCATCGTCTCATCGGTCGCTGTTCAGAAAGAAGAGTAAAATATCGTCAGAAGTAATATAACGATTTATTATTGTAATATTTGTTTACAGAACTTAGTTCGCTTATTCCTTTTATATGTTGGTGTAACAATAAACAAATCTCAAGCGGCAGATCGGTGTTTTGGTTTTTTCGTCCGTTATAAATAAGCGTTTCCGAAATCTTCGAAGAACAGCGTGGGCCCGAGCGTAGCGAGAGCTGGGCATTAACGGTTTATGAGACGTGATTGACAACAGTTTTGCTCGAGGGAGGTATTACCTTTCTCCGCCCTACTAGAATTTAACTTGGCAAAAAATATGAACAAAAAGAGTGACTGCTAATTTCGTGGAGGTCTTTGGTAAATAAATATATCAGAACACACTTGTGTTCAAGCAGAGACCATCATGAGGCACGTTAAAGGTGGTTTAGTTAGGATTTTGATTCACTGATCCAAGGAATTAGTTGAGGCTAACTCACGAGTCTGTGTAGGGCCTATGGAGTCGCATCTTGATAAAAAGCTGGGCAAATTGGTAGATATCAGACAGAGGGCATAAGGCAAGGTTGGGTCACATACTTAAATTCATTGAAGCCTTAGCCATTAAAAGACTTAAACCTGTCTTATGCGTCCAAAAGTTATTTGTTATCACCTTAAACCTGCCTTGGTAATCCAACTTAGAACCAAGGACCAATTTTACTTCATAATATTTTCAAACCCTTTTTTTGCCTTTTTTTCCTCCCTTTATCTTTCTTACCCACACTTTTTGCGTCTCCCTACCCATTATTTTGTGACCTTGACCTGTACACAATCTGACCTGTATTGTAATTATTCATGCTTTCTTGCCTTATATAAACCTGTGTATGACAAGTACGTGTGTGATCAGAATGTCCGAAATGTGTTGCGCCAATACATTATACGTTTCAGATAAACTACG